AGAATCTTTGCCAGTAAACACCTTTGAGGGAGTTCCCGAAGTATTTAAATTCATTATTAAAAATACACATCTTTAATACGTACCTTAACATTTAGTAATTAATGTTTATGTTGTATTTGTAGAAAACTGAGAACCAGTTCTTAGACAATAATATCTTGGGATATTCTACTGTTCAATTTCTTCCAAAAGGATCAGAAGGAACAATGTGACATGTTATCAATCTAAATAGTGTGCAAAAATAAGGTCAGTATTTAAATAACTATCATTGTACGTATTCTTATTTACTTAGCATTAATTTTGAAAAAATTACTTGTTATGTGAATTAACAATGTATATCTGATAAATGAGTATTTTCCTGGAATAGGTAGATGGTGAAAAAAGCCAAGCAATCTGTGAATGCAATTTTGTGAGATACATTCAAGACCTAACATTTGAAACAATGGTGTTTTATGAAATTTTGAAAGAATTTAAACAAAATTTTACTAAAAACAGACATACACAGTATGTTAATACGTATATACCTATATAGTTCTGATTTGTGGTTATCTTATTTACGCAAATTAATGCTCATGGACATTAATTAGAGACATGCAATTTAAAAAGAACCAATAATTAATTTAGCTGAGTGTGATTCATAGTTTAGCTTATTGTTATTAAAAGTTTTCAGTTAAATTAATTACTAGTTTTCTTTAAATTGCATGTCTCTAATTAATGCCTATGGGCGTTAATTCGCTTAAATACAGTAATAATTATTTATAGTTATAATAGCTAGAATCATAATGGTTTATTATACGTAACAATAAGTAATTTTAAACAAAGAAAATAAAATTTATTAAATTTAAAAAATTTCTTTAACAATTGATCGTTACATTTTTTATGCACTTAATATGTAACTACATTTATCGATATTTACATTTTTAAGAATTAAGTAAATGTTAATGAAACAATGTAATACATTAATTAATTAAAGCCATTTCATCCTGCATTAATATAAATTTATAAAAGCGTCACAATTTTCCTTTGCAAAAACTTCAAAGTTATAACTTAATTTTATCTATCAAACCATTAAATCTAATTTTTTCTACATACATACATATAACAATAAATATTAAAAAAAATGCCACGAATGCCTAAGAATAAAAATGAACCAAAAATATTAAACTTTGTTTGGGTTAATAATAAAGTTGAATTAACTATTTACCAATGCATAAGAATTATTGTACTTTATGGTTTAGGATTTTCAATGTGTGCAATTGCTCGAGATATGGAAATTGCACATTTGACTGTAATAAGGTTAATTAAAAAAGCCAATGAAACAGGAAAGATTGAAGATTTGAAAAGATCAGGCCGTCCAAAAGCTCTGACACAAGAGGAGGAAGAAAGAATAGTTGAATTAATTAATTCTGGAGAATGTGAAATAGCAACTGAAGTTCATTCGAAATTTAGTTATGAAACCAATTATGAGATATCAGTTGAAACAGTATGAAATATTCTCCATAGACATGGATTTGTTGCTAGAGTTAAGAGAAAGCATCCTGTAATAAATGAAACTGCAAAAAAAGTACGATATGAGTTTGCTAAGAAATATGAAAGCTGGACAGTTGATGATTGGAAAAAGGTTATTTTTTCAGATAAAAGTAGATTCGTACTCTTTGGAGCTTTCAAGAGACGGCAATACTATTGGCGAAAACCAGATGACAAAAAATTAAATGATGCTTGAGTTATTCCAACAAAAAAATTTGGTGGTGGAAGTATAATGGTTTGGGGTTGCATAAGTCATGATAATTGCCAACTTCAATTAGTTGAAGAGACCTTAAATTCTAAAGGTTATCTTAATATTCTTAAAGATTGCCTCTTGGATATTGTTGAAGATGATATGATTTTTCAACAAGATAATGCATCAATTCACAAATCTATTCATACAAAAAACTGGCTTGATGAAGAACAAATAAATGTTATTGTTGACTGGCCCCCATATTCCCCTGATTTAAACCCTATTGAGCATCTCTGGAGTGAAATTAAAAGACGCTTAAAAGGAGAATATTTTGGTAATAAAGAAAAACAAAAGTTATGGGAAAGAGTAGTAGAAATATGGAATGAAATTGGGTGCGACATAATAAATAAGCTATATGAATCAATGCCTAAAAGAATTACTGCTGTAATAGAGGCTGAAAGTGGTTATACAGAATATTAACTATTGATTTTTGATGTTAATTTTTATATTATTTATTAGAAATAATAATATAAATATATATATAATAAGTAGCTGCGCGATGTTGTCATGCAAAACCAGGAACGGAAGGTGGATTTTCAGATCGAGTTGCAGATGAAACTGATTTCATCATAAGATTTTTGTTTGCTTAACTTTTATAAGTTTTATTTGCAACTTTAAATTAGATTATATGTGCAGTAGGTCGAATACTAAC